TAGGTTAATTCTTTTTGATCTAACTTTTTCTCTAGTTCCTGGTCCCCTTTTCCTATTGGCCTCAGTTACTTTTAAGGTATCTGCTTTAGTTTCTCTGCGTTAAGGGCAACAAATGCTAGCTAGTTTTTTAGGTGTCTTACCTATCCTCACCCCTCCCTTGTGTGCTCTTGCTTTATCATATGATCAAAGTCCAATCCCATTGTTGTGTTTGCCCTTGATCTAATGTCCACATATGAGGGAGAACATACGATTTTTGGTCTTTTGGGCCAGGCTAACCTCACTCAGAATGATGTTCTCCAATTCCATCCATTTACCAGCGAATGATAACATTTCGTTCTTCTTCATGGCTGCATAAAATTCCATTGTGTATAGATACCACATTTTCTTAATCCATTCGTCAGTGCTGGGGCATCTTGGCTGTTTCCATAACTTGGCTATTGTGAATAGTGCCGCAATAAACATGGATGTGCAGGTGCCTCTGGAGTAACCTGTGTCACAGTCTTTTGGGTATATCCCCAGGAGTGGTATTGCTGGATCAAATGGTAGATCAATGTTTAGATTTTTAAGTAGCCTCCAAATTTTTTTCCAGAGTGGTTGCACTAGTTTACATTCCCACCAACAGTGTAAGAGGGTTCCTTTTTCCCCGCATCCTCGCCAACACTTGTTGGTGGTGGTGTTGCTGATGATGGCTATTCTAACAGGGGTGAGGTGGAATCTTCAGTCCTTAGCTTTTGAAATGCTTACAAGTTCTTAGTGAACAAGAAAAAGAAAATACCAATGTGTATAATCAGTCACAAGCTTACTCAGCCCAAAGAAATATTCTTTTTTTCTGATACTGCATGCTCCATTTATTGACACTGTTTGCATCTCCTGTCATTTGTGAAACTAAGGAAATGGCACTTTAGGTGATTTTCCTAACAGCAAGTTATTTTATACTTTATTGCAAACAGGAAACTTTGAGACTGCTTCCTTTACTTAGGTTATTCTCCTCAGACCAAATTGCCTTATCAAGTGTAAATTTCTCCAAGAAGCATATTTTGATGGCAGATCTGTGGGTTGGCTCCCTAGGGCTTCCATCACAAAGTGCCACAAACCAGGTGGCTTAAAACAGCAGAAATTTGTTGTCTGGTGGCTGGAGTCTTATATGATGTATGAACAGGGTCAAGTTGTCTGAAGGCTCTAGGGTAAGGTTCTCCTTGTCTGTTCCTACTGTCTGGTGGTTGCCAGACATCCACAGGGCTTCTTGGATTCCCAGACTGCCGCTCCAATCTCAGCTTCATCATCACACCTGATTCTCCCTGCATGTGTCTTTACTCAAGTTTCCCTTCCCTCATTTGGACACGAGCTATTGAATTAGGGCTCACACTACTCCAATAGGACGCCATCTTATTCCTTACATCAGCAAAGATCCTGTGTCCAAGTGAGGCCACATTTACAGGTCCAGGGGCTGGGACTTGAGCATAACCTTTGGAAGACACATTTCAACCTACTGCATATGACAAGTATATATATTTGACAAAAAATATTCTGACAATATCAAAATGTGAAATAGCATAATGCTGTGTTATTTTCAAAATGAAGCACAAAATGAAACTATTAAGAGAATATTTTAGGGGGCTTGAAGCATGGCTCAAGTGGTAGAATGCCTGCATAGCAAGTGCAAGGCCTTGAGTTCAAACCCCAGTACCACCCCCAAAAAGAGCATATAAGATAAGCATAGCACCAGCAATTGAGGAGAGTTCTGTTTCAAAGTTGTTCCCTCTGCAGATGACATAAATGCTAACACCTAGAGATTTGTCTTAGATGCTTCCTCACTGTCAAGCTTCCCTATGCTTGATTTTTAGAGAGATGTCTGACATTTCCCCACATGTACTGTTTAGCTCCTCTAAACATCACTGCTTGGCATCAGGAATCACTTAGGATGGTTCCTGAGCTCCAGGTCTCAGGCTGCTGACACGAGGGCATGGAAGGCCCAGGAAATGCTAACGGAACAGGGATGTAAGGATGTTGTGACTCGGATGAAATCCGGGAGAATTTCAGGTTACTGTTACTCAGACTGAGAGGTTTATGTTAGTTACTTTTGCATAGCTGTGACCAAACTGTCTGAGAAAAACCTAAAGGAGGAAATATTTATTTTGACTTATGGTTTCAAAGGTATCAGTCCATCATGGTGAGGAGGGCATGGCAGAGCAAAACAGCTCATATCACGGAGGCCAGGAAGCAGAGTAAAGGGGATATAGGAAGGGCCAGGGCAAGATATAGACTCAAGTCCACACCCCCAGTAACTACTTCCTCCAACCAGGCCCCACCTCCTACTTTTTAACCAATGCCATCATACACAAATCCATCAAGGGATTCATCCCTTCATTAGGTTGGAGCCCTGATGGTCTAATCATCTCTGGAAATGCCCTCACAGACACCCCAGATGTGTGCTTTACTGATTGTCTAGGCATTCAGCTATACAAGTTGACAGTCACAATTAACCATCATAGGTTTCAATCTGAAGCATATCTGCATCTTTACATTTCAACTAGCATTACAATATGTGATCTAAAGCCCAGTATACATCTCGTTAGGGGCTTCAGAGCAGGAAAGAGTTGGACACCACTTGGCCTGTGGAAAGAGGAATAGCTCTAATATACTAGCACGCACGCAGGGGGCCTGGGAGCAGCACACCGTAATCACTGGCTCCTTATCTGTCAACACATCCCAATCAAGTCACACAGAGCCTGCTTTCACTGAGAAGAGAGACCAAGCCAGAGCACAAGGGAACGTAAAGGTCAGGCAAACATTCCTTTACCAACCAAGAGGCATATGTCCGGAAAGAGAGGACCTGATTATTTTATTTTGGAGAACAGTGCTGTGCAAATATGGCCAATGACAAGTGAAGGTGACAGCCTTAACCTTGGTTTTGGGTGACTTTTATTTTAGGCTGGCAACTTCAACAGTCATACTTTTCTAAGGCTAAGTTTTTACTTATTAGTTTTTATTAGTTTAATTAGTTTCCTTTATTTTCCTCTATCTAAAGAAAAGATTAAATTAAGAGTTAGTAAAAAGTAAAGGCATATTTGGGAAGGTACCATGAAATAAAAATATCAATGGCTATAGTCTCACCATCAGAGTTTAGCCGACAGGTCTATGATGTTCAAAACCTTAAGGAACTACATCTGAGGTGAAACAAGAAACCTTTATCATTTCCTGAGAGAAGGCTGAGAGGTGCAAAGCTCCCTCCAGAGCGCCTGCTCCTCCTTCCTAGTCCAGGACCCTACTTGGTTCTCTTAGGTGAACTTTGCACCCCTCCCTAGTGCTCGTTAAACCAGGTTAAGGACAAGAAGTGCAAGACTGAGATTAAAAAAAAAAAGTAGCTGGTGATATTTCTGACTGTGGTTCTGTGCAGAACCAGACCACATGGAACCACTAGGGGGGCACAGGCAGTGCTGACAACATGGTCCGAAACATCTGTGGACGAACATCATGCCTCAGTATCATGGGAGAGGTCATTGAAAGTCACAGGAGATAGCGGCAGTGGACCCCATGCATGGTTTCCTGGCCCTGCACCCTTCCCTGAGTCCCACCCTCTCAAAGTTCAAACCTCCAAGGTCCCTCCACCACTTTATCACCCTCCCTGACCATAGTGCCCAAACCACCCCACAGACCTAGGGATCGTTTCTGCCTGCCCAGTTGACCTTCCTGACCCATCAGCTGTCCTTTCTCACACACTAGCCCAGACCACATTCTGTCAGAACCTATGCCTGATTTTTAATTATTCATTCATTAGTTAATTGAATTAAGAGTATACTCCTCTCTAGACTGTGAGCTCCATGAGGCCAGGGTCTCTGTGGTGCTTCACAGTCCTTGGAGCCCTCCTGGAAGAACTGGCTCCATACTGGGACAGGAAGGAAGGTGGACTGATCCTTTTTGGGACTGTCACACTGCAAATCAAAGTCTCAATCTAAGGATGCACACATGTGAAGGAGCGATCAGGGACTGGCAGATAGGGACACAACCCTGACACCAAGGTGTTTGTTTTTACCACACAAGGGGAAAGAAGCAAGCCATCATATGCATTGGGAAAACATTTATTTATTTATAAATCTGCCCAGCATATATATCGAGATATCTATATCTATATATCGAGAGAGAGAGAGAGAGAGAGAGAGAGAGAGAGAGAGAGATGAAGCCAAAGGTCTCCAGAGGAAGAGAGATGGGTTCATTTATCTACAACTCATTGTAATCCCAATACAAATAAAGGAATTGCAAGCCAGTTAAAGGCAAACAACTGTCCGAGGAGCACCCTGAAGTGCAGGCGTGGCCTAGCGCCTTCATCCCTGGCTGTGGATGCATGCGGTGGAAATCAGACCTCATACTAGCTCCCAGGCCTTGAGATACTGAAATTAAATGCAGTAGGGAAAACATAAGGTTGGAGCTCAGGGCAAACGCAGGATGAAACTTGAAAAAGCAGGTCACGTCAGCGCTGTGCGCCGCCGACGCCCCTACACTACCCCGAGACCCCAGCCCGGCCCCAGACACCCCGACCAGCTCCCGATACCCTGAAACCCGGGCTCAACTCTTGGCACTCGGAGACCCGAGTTCCCGATACCCCAAGACCTCCGCCCAGTCCTCGACACCCCGAGACCCCATCCAGCCCCCGACACCCCAAGAGCCGGGCCCAGCTCACGACACCCCGAGACCTCGGCCCGATACCGACATCCCGAGACCACGACCAGCTCCCGACACCCAGAGACTCCCCGCCCGGCCCCCGACACCCTGGCCGAGCACCTGACATCCAGAGACCTCTACCCGGTCCGCTAGGTCTCAGAGACTCTCGAGACCCGGCCGGGTTCCGGAGACCCCGAAATCCAGGCCCGGCGCAGCGCCAGCGCCCCGACACCTCCGAGATCCCGTCCCCGATACCCCAGCCCCGCACGGACCTCCTGGAGCGCGGCGATCCAGCCCCACCACTCCGAATCCCCGCGGCCCGGCACGAGCCCCGCGCCTACCATAGGTCTCGGACATGGCCGTCTGCGCCATCCTGCAGCCTCGAGTCTCGGCCGGGGTCTGTCCCCGTCCGGGCAGCGCGGGGCGGGGACCAAGCAGCAAGCGCCCAGCGGTGCCCACCGCTAGCGCGGGACACTGGTCTGCGGCCCTGCTGGCCTCTCCTCCGCGCACGCGCGCGCCGACCCTGTGCTCAGCGAGCAACCAGGCCCGGTTGGGGAGGAGGAAGTCCGGGAGGGGGAGGAGGGAAGGGAGGGGAAAGGGAAGAGGAGGGGATTAGGGCGGCGCCGGGCGGGGGAGCACGTGCGCTAACAGCGCGGAGCACCGCCGTCGCCAGATTGGCGAGGACCGAACGAGCGGCGGCGGAGGCCGGGCGCTTGCCCGGGGTCGATCTTTGTGCCGAATGGCGCCGCAGCACAGGTGTCGTCAGCCTCAGCGCCTCTCCCAGCCCGGTCGAAGTCACATCCAGCTAACTCGCGAACAGGAGATAGTTCCGGTCCGCCTGTGCGCTGAGGCGGGGGTACCTGTGGGAAACCCAGCTCTCAGCCCAGCTCTCAGTCCAGCCCCACCAGGTCCTGTCCAGGCTGCGATAGGTGTCTGGAGCTTGGGGCGCAGGGCTGAGGAGTCAGGGAAGACAGGGCCCTCAACACCGCATGGGGGGCGGAGGAGGACGGAGCCCCACCTGGCCCTCAGCTGCGACTGTAGAATTGCAAGGTTAGGAGGCTAGGTATTTGGTTTAAGTTCAGAACCCCTTCTTATGGAAAGGTACAGGGAAACATTTACTCGAAAGAGAATTTGGATCGTGAGTTTGGTCCACTTGTGCATGACCAGGGCCTTAAGACCTGAGGTGTTCATAGTAGAAGCAGCATGCAAAAAATCTTCTGGCCAGCTCCCCCAGAGACCAGTCCATACATTTACCCCCAGTCATTTGGCTTCATCCCCAACATGATTGGCATCAGACCTTCCTTCTTCCCCAGTGTTATTTGGCTCCACACTTCACTCTTGTCTGATCCTAACAGCAAACAAACGTCCTTGATTTTAAATCTCAGAGCAGACCTTACCTCCAAATGCTGTGAGAGTTGTCATTTCCTAGAATTATTTTGTATTTACTTCTCTTTCCATGGTTTAGATACTTTGTTGCTTTCTTATTTGGCTTGATTTAGACTCCTGAGCAGAGCTACTGTTTCTGATTAAAGGATTTCAGAGGAAAGACTGGTCCTGGGAAGGGAAAGGGGCCAGTGTCACTTAAAGATCAGACCTCTTCTTTAGATCTAAATTTCCTTCCCACCAGAGGCTCCTGTGGGCCAGAAAGAAATCACTGGGTATGTAATAGTTTGCATTGTTGACACAAACTGGACCCAGTGACCCGTGAGGCCTGTGCAGGTGGGTACAAAATAAAAGCCATACTTTCATTTCAAACATGCAAACAGTTTCGATTTTGTGGTAAACGACAACTTAAAGAGGCCTTTGTGAAAGACTCCTGGTGACAAGATCCTTCAGTTCACAAAGGTAAAGTCAATGTCACAATTAGAACAGGAAGGGCTGGTTCCTACAATGAGCTTGGATCTGACAGAGCCAAACTTCCCTGAATGTAGTGTGAAAAGTGTGTAACTTGGGTCTGAGAGGAAAGAAATCTCTCCCAGGTGCTCTTGGAGACTTTGGTTCTGAGGTAGTGTCAATCATGTAGAAGATTTACTGTAAAATTAACTTGTGGCCTTCTCTGGTTATTGTCTTTCTCTTTTGTGGAGGTTTTTGCAGAGTGAAAGTAGGTGCGTGTCCAAAGCCTGTGAGATGGAGTTTGTCTAAGGGAAAATGGAGAGAGGAGGGTTTCTTCCAAGGAAACTAGTTTTGCTCACTTTCTCAGAGCAGTGGGTCCTCTAATGCTTTGCTCCTTATTCCCTGACAGTGCCTAAGGATGGTAACCAGGTGCTTGGGGCTTAGTGATGTGGATCCTTTGGGCCAGGCTCGGTGGAGGTTTCTGGTCATGGTCTCAGTGCCTTGTGGACTTTCCTCAATAGCTAAGCTGAACAATACAAGTGGACCTGAGTACAACACCTGGGGACACCTGGGGGTTACTTTGAGAGGGAACCAGGCTCTGCACATGCTTGAAATGTGAGCTCAGTTAATACCCAGGCTAGTGGAACCTATGACATGAATTCATGTCTTCAAGCTGGAAGAGACCCCCGGAGGCTGTTGGTCCATTTGCCTTCTGTGCCACCAAATAGAAACAGTGTCTGTGATGAAATGAACCTGCTCTCTGGGAATGTTCAGTCTGGAGCAGCTAAATGAGCTGCAGGAACAGGGTTGTCCCAATTCCCCTGTGCCTGACACAATGAAGTGCAGTTCTTACTCAGACAACCTGCCCACTTGTGTCGCTGTGACCCTCGCAGCCCTGGGCTGAGCAGGTTCATTGGAACACATCTCCCAGTTGCTTAGGCAGGGGGAGGAAGTGGGACCCTTGTGCACCATCTGGGGAAGATCTCCCCAGGAATAGATGGACTCACTGCCATTTGCATTCCATGGGCCAGACCAAGTCAGTGGCCACAGTTGACTCCAAAGAGGACAGACAGGAAGTGAGATAGTTTGTCCCAAGGAAAGGAGAAGAAAACATGAGTGGGAAGCCATTCTGATCACACTAGACTTTCTGCCTGTCCAGGCAGCTCTTTCTGCTTTTTCTTGAAACAGCTTTAATGAAGCTTGGGTGGTCATAACTGCCAGTATTTAAAGCATACACTTGGAACATTTTGCATTTATGTAAATCTGTGTTAGACGTATTTAGTGGACATAGGCATGTTTTGTGATCTTTTGGCCTCCTGTGTTTTTTCTCAGGAATGACTTCTTGTGGTGTTAGCTTAGTGGTGGTTTTGGGGTCTGTGGTATAGGTCTTCATCTCATCACAGCCATGCAGAGTATAAGAACTTCACAGCAGTGATCTCCCTCCTTGCAGCCCTGTGCTGGGCATGTTGTGCCTTCGTTGTGGTGAACTCTTATATCTTGTTACTATTTCTGATCTAAGCAGTCAGTTCTGTCTCTCTCAAATTGTCACAAAATATACATAACAAAATTTACTGTCTCAACCATCTTTAAGTTCTAACCCATTACCACCAAAATAACCCCAAGTCAACCATCTTTAAGTGCACAGTTCAGTGGCATTGAGTATCTAGGATGGCATTTGGTAGTTTTCAACCTTACATCCTGTTTCTGTCTCAGTTCCTTGACCTGGCAGTTTCTTCTTCTTTTCCCTCCTCCTCCTCTTCCTCCTTCTTCTTCTTCTTTCTTCTTTTTTCTCCTCCTCCTCCTCCTCCTTCTTCCTCCTCCTCCTCCTCCTCCTTCTTCTTCTTTCTTCTTTCTTCTTTCTTCTCCTTCCTCTTCTTCCTTCTTCTTTGTCTCCTCCTCCTTTTCCTCCCTCCTCCTCCTTCCTCCCCCTTTCTCCTTCCTCCCTCTTCCTCCTTCCTTCTCCTTCCTCCCTCTTCCTCCTTCCTTTTCCTTCTCTTTCCTCCTTCTTACTACTACTACTACTGCTGCTGCTGCTATTTAGGAGGCTGAGGCAGAAGGATCGCAAGTTTGCAACCAGCCTTGTCTACATAGAGAGTTCAACAAACAAAAAACAAAAAAGAAAAAACAAACAAATGAGGATTGGGGGGTATACTCTTTTATACTTTCCTTGTCACCTTACCCATCTACCTGCTTGAGCATTGCCGTGGCTCTGATACAACCACGTGCAGAACTTGCATGCTACAAAACCCAAACTCCGTTCCATTGAACACTGACTTCCCATTCCCCTTCCCAGCCTGCACCAGTCTACTTTGTGCTATGACTATGACCACTCTAGGGAACCTCACATAACTGGAATCGGATAGCATCTGTCCTTCTGTGACTCAGGGTTCATCTGTGTTGTAGCACATACAGAATTTCTTTTTAAGGCCTAATAATATTCAATATGTTGTATTATGTAGTATATTTTTAGCTGATACTTTAAAGTAGATTTTAAGCAATAAGAAAAGTATTGTTATATTTATTCACAGTCCCATATCAGGGCTCCTCATTGCCTTGTACCAGTTAGATTTTGGAGTGTCTTTTTTTTTGCCTAAAGGACTTCCCTTAATAGATCTTGAATCTGTATCTGCTGGAGATGAATTCCTTCAGGCTTTTATATCTAAAAAATGTCTTTATTTCATGTTTCTTTTGGAATAGTATTTTTGCTCAGTTTACATGTTTCTAGGTAGGGTTTCATCCCCTACTCTCATGCAATACAAGGATATTGTTGACTATTGTTTGGCTTATTGTGTTTCCACAAGGAGAGGAAGAGTTTTGCTGTTGTCCTTTTTACTCTTTGTAGGCAATGTGCAATGTGTCTTTTTTTTTTGGCAGCACTGGGTTTGAACTCAAGGCCTCATCTTGCTAGGCAGGCACATGAATCACTCTGCACAGCCCTGTTTTGTGTGTTAAGTATTTTTTAGATAGGTCTCATGATCTATTTTGCCTGGGCTGGGCTTTGAACTAGCCTCTGAGTATCTTAGGATTACAGGTATAAGCCACTGCCACCAGCCCAATGTGTCCTTTATCTCTGTCTGCTTTTAAGATTTTTACCTTTTTCTTTGGCTTTAAAGCAATTGATTGTGATGTGCCTTGGGAAAACTTTCATGGTTCTTGTCCTTTGATTTTCATGAAACTTCTTTGGTCTTCGAGCTTATAGTTTTTATTTGATTTGGAAATGGTTTTTCAACCATCATTTCATCAGATGTTTCTCACCTTTCCTGTCCTTTCTTTGGTGACTCCATTGTATATTGGGCCACTCGATTTTGTTTCACATAACCAATGCTTGCTGACTTATGGTCCATCTATCTCTTAGGGTTCATTTTGTATAATTCCCATTGTTCTGTCCTTAAGCTCATGAAGCTTTTCTGCGTTTGAACCCTGGTATACCTCCTTTAAAGAACACTGTATTTTGCATCATTGTGGTTTCCCATGGTGTGCTTACTGTGACCGCATCTTCAATTTGGTGGTACTTAGTTCTCAATTTGCTGTCCAGCTTTTTGCACATTTTCTACTAATTTTATCATCTGAGTGATTTCTAAGGTACTTTTTAACTTTCTCCTCATTGTGGCTAGTATTTTTCTACTTTTTTAGGGCAACTGATTTTTTTTATTGGACACCAAGACATGGAGATATTTATATTGGAATGTATATAGTATATTTC